CCAAGGTCTTCATGCCACCATAAGAATGTGTCAACACCAATGAGGGTCATCAGAATCTCATCCATCCTAGTGATGAGGTCATGTACAGCATCCTGAATGCATCAGTTAATGAAAAAAATGTGATGATGCTATGATGCACTAGTTCATTGTTTATCACCTTGATGGCACCTCTCCACTTCACAATCTTGTCTGCCTTTCCCAGCTTGCTGCTTTCCATGATATCCTTGAAGTAAATTTGAAGGATGCAGTTGGCTGCAGCATCAAGCTCAGGCAATTTCTTGAAGAGCTTGCAAGATGATGATGATGACATGTTTCTGATGACAAGACAATGGAGTAGTTTGACAGTGAGAGTGGTGATGGTGATTGGAGAGTGGAAGAGTCAGAGGTTAAAGATGGACGATGAGATATGTGGATGTCACATTTTTTATCCCACCTATGAATGATTCCCACAGCATGACAGCAATACCAGTACAAGTCAATAATCCTGAATGCATATATGAAGCAGAGGCTCAGATAAAAATATGATGTGTTGTTCTGGAATAGCATTGCTGTTTGTTTTGCATGTTTCCCATCTGCTCCAATGGCAGAACCTGGCTCACAGCTACATAGACCAGCACCTGAGATTCCAACTAAATAGGCAAATCATCCAATGTGAAACACAATTTATAGTGGGAAATTCAGATACTTTATAGTGTGAGAGGTTCCACTTTCTTCATTTCTTGTCTTCCTGGGCCCATCTTATATTGTAACAGGGGGATAACCCAATTATGGATAGGCCCATCCATTTGTGGTGAGCTATCTATGATATGATGGATTGGCCTGTCTTATGCAGTGCCAAGAGTTTGTAATCCTGCAATGGACAGATTGGCCTGTCTTATGTTGTAACACTGGTTTTTGTTTTCCCTTATCTGCTGCCTGAGAATACCATGGATGGGCCCATCCTTATGTAGATCCCTTTGATCTCCCTTTCTGCTGCCTGAGAATGCCTTACATGGACTGTCCTTATGTAGATAGCTTGGATCTCCCTTTCTGCTGCCTAAGAATACCATACATGGACTCATCCTTATGTTGCAACAGGGGTGCATCTTGCTAGATGGGCCCATCCATTTGTTGTGATGATATACATGATACTACTGAAGGGCCTGTCCTTATGTTGTGATGCTATTAGATGATATTACTGATGGGCCCATCCATATGTTGCAACAATATAAACAGTACTACTGAAGGGCCCATCCTTATGTTGCAACACTATTAAACAACATTACTGATGGGCCCACCCATATGTTGTGACAATATAAATAATACTACTGAAGGGCCTGTCCATATGTTGTGATGCTATACATGAGATTCTGACAGGCCCATCTTTATGTTTTGTCAGAGGTACATCTTACTGTGGACGGGCCCATCCATATGTTGTGACTCTATTAAATGATATTAGTGACAGGCCCATCTTTATGTTTTGACAGGGTACATCTTACTGGGGCCAGTTCCACCCATATGTTGTGATGATATAAATAATACTACTGAAGGGCCCATCCATATGTTGTGATGCTATGCATGAGATTACTGATGGGCCCATCTTTATGTTGCAACAATATAAATAATATTACTGTAGGGCCTGTCTTTATGTCTTGTCAGAGGCACATCTTACTGTGGATGGGCCTGTCCATATGTTGCATAATACTACTGATGGGCCTGACCTTATGTTGTGACTCTATTAAATGATACTAGTGACAGGCCCATCTTTATGTTGTGACAGGGGTATGGCTTGTTATGAATGGGCCTGTCTAGATGTTGCAACACCATAAATGATATTACTCCCAGGCCCATCCATATGTTGCCAACTTTGTATTCTAATCATAGACAGGCCCATCCTTATGTTGTGACCCTCTCCATGTTATGATAGGTGGGCCCATCTCAGGGTCTATATAAGTGTTGGTGTTTTGGCACACAGGCTGCCCATGTGTTGTGACTAAATGTGACTACATGATGTGACATCCTGGAAAACATGGCATGCATAGCAAGGTTGTGTAAATGCTGTCAGCCACGTCCCCTGTGCTCATCACACACCTTTCTGATATCCTACAATGAACCCTTGATACTTGTCTAGGCATGAAGAGGTCATCATTTTCCATGGGAAGCTCCAAGAAAATATAGCCATGGAGGTGTACTTTGGCCATACCTAGAAACTGGATTATGGTAAGTACTGTAATACTCAGATCAATCAAGAAGTTTATATGCATGCAAGCATTGCACAATCCGGCATGGATTTGTGGTTCACCCCCTTGATCTTTGACACAAACATGGAAGGTGTTAGCTCACTTGCCATGCCCAGTGTTTTAGCTCTTGGCTAAATGTCAGATCCTCCATAACTAATCACCATGCATTAACAGGTCTTTCCATACAACCATGAAGCTATCCTGTCAATGGATTTGTTGGAACATAAAGTGCCCCTGTGGTACTTGACCACTGTGCGATGTTTTGGCTGCTTACATAAGCTGAAATAGCGCACATACTTGTAGTATTTCCTACTAGTATTGCCTCAGTAGTTTGTTCACTACTGAGGGTAAGTCCATTCATATTACAAGTGTTCTACTATACTGACATCCTGTAGTAGCCTACAGATATTTCTACCAGATTGTCATGAATGCTGATTGGTGACTATCCACTACTGCATGATAGAGCAAAACACATTGTGGAGGGGACAGGGCATGGGCACACACTTTACATCAAGGAAATGGTGATTGGTCAGAGACCCACCTAGGTCCCAATTACTGCATGGGAGTATGAGAATAAGAGAATTGATAGCAAGAGTAGAGTTTCCACTACCAGATTGAGTTCCTAATACCTAATGGAACTATGTCAAAATCATGTAAATGACAATCTCTAATCTGTCCAGCTGTCGACACTGTGCAAATCAAGTTGACAATCCACACCCGAATTCGAAACATGCTAACAGGCCTAGGAAAATATATCGCATCTTGTCTGTAAGTCAGTCTCTGTCGACATTTAAGATTGAAGCTATCTGCCAGAGATACTGCACATCTGCGGGGGCAGTATGAGACATAAGTACACATGTTGCAAATTATACACGGGTCAGGAATGTTCTAACTATGTGTGGAAGTCCCTGAAGGGAGCTCTTCCATTCACATCTCCTCATGTTTGTCGCTTATTAGATGTGGCAGGCAATGTTTTATTCATATCAATTGCAGGCGCTAATTTATGTATTACAGTTTCGTTCATTCCGAATTACAGTAGCAAAGCTGAAAAAAGAAGGAAAATAACCATATACAACAATGCGCTATACTCTCTGGAATACGTGTTGTGACGGAGTCTTCGCTTTGGAAGAGCAGGTGGTATCCAGGCGCAATCACAAGCATCTCCGGAACATGCTCCACGTTCCCGCATATCTTGGTTCCACCCACATAGTTTGTAGGCTTCGCTTTGTGGGTTGAGGGGAGTCATTTACATTGCTGCTCAGCGCTCAAGATTGCGACGTTCAACGTTCGGCCGCCATGCTGTCATCTTTGGTCCGCCTAGGCTATACTAGGTTCAATACATTTTACTCAGGCGTCTATGGCCTTCCCCCTCATGAGCCGTGTGCCTCGTTGCAAACGACGGGTAGCACGTAAAGGGAGAATATGGGGACCTTCTTCAGTTTACGCCCTCACCTCCCCCCAGTCGTGGTCTAATTTCTACATATTCCTCTCTCACGATGGAACAGGATCCCAAATCGTCAACTACCTTCGATATCCACTTCTTCCTGTTCTTTGCAGCGTTCTGTGTTGTCGACGCATGGATTGGGTCTATCTGGTTCGGCAACGAAACTTGGCTGTGTTGTAGGGACCATTCTGTTTGTTAGCTCCACAGCCGTCGTTATGTTCCCGAATCTGGTTATTGGTGTAGTCAATCAGTCCTACTACAATCTCACAACATGTATCTTTTATTTCCTTTGGAATTCTGGACACGGCATTACATCTGCGAAACTACTCGAGGGAATGAGCAGGTTATACCTGCCTCCGTTTGGAAGTGACTTGTCGTAAGACTCGCTAAGACACTTGTTGGCCAATGAGAGGGCTCGCTCAAGTGCGAAAGAGTTGTTAACAGCCGCGTCGCGTAGCTGTTTCCCAGATGTAGAATGATGAGATTTATATCTTAGAATCCAGCCCTTAGCAACAGTCACTTCGAAGGCGTTTAACACGCTTGCCCACCGTTCCCAACGTTTTCGCTCTTGGGTAAACATCAAAGCCTCGATAGCCAATTGTCATGCGTTGATAGGTCAATGTTCAACCCCTAGCTTTCCATACAACCTTGAACCTATCGTACCAATGGATTGTCATGAGTGCTGATGTAACTATCCATTGCTGCATGGGGGCGCTAAACACGTAGTGGAGCGGTCGTGGGCACGCGCTTCGCATTATGGAAATGGCTATTGATCGGATGTCCTATATACCGCAGTGGAGTATGAAAGAATTGATAGCGGGAGTGGAGTTCCTACCCCGGAACCATATTGAATTTACGTAAGCAGCGCATCCAGCCGTCAATTGACGCCAAACAAATCATCAGGTTCATGGCACAGTCTTCACAAAAAGTTCCTACGGCTCGCTATGCAAAGGGTCAGCACTGGTTGACACAAACTTTGTTAAAGGCTTCCTGTTGGTCAGTCTCCATCAACATTGGAATTGAAACTATTCGCTAGAGATATAGCACTCCTGTGTGGGTAGTACTAGCAGACACGCTACAAATTACACACCGATCGAGGATGTTCTAGCAAGGCATGGAAGTCCCTGAAGGAATGTCTTCCACACCATCTCCTCATGTTCGGCGTTTACTAAATCACAATTTCTCATTTCGGATCAATTGCAAGTACTGATTCATGTATTACAGGTATGTTTATTACAGCAGCAAAACAACAAAAAGAGAGAGAAATATGTACAACAACGCATCATTATTTGGGTTGCGATCGACTCCTTGCTTTGGGAGAACAGCTAATATCTAGACATTCACAAGCTTCTCCGGAACAAAGTCCATGTTCCCACATATCTCGGTTCCACCTACATAGCTTGCAAGTGGGCATCTGTCTGGTGGGTTGAGGGCATGCGTGACTAGATCCACAGACCTATATTCTGGGTTATTGCTCGGCGCTCAGCGTTCAACGATCAACCACCATGCTGATATGTTTGGCGCACATGAGTTATACTAGGTGATATACGGCCTTCTGCTCGCTGTGGGTTGTGTGCCTCATTGCAAATCGAAGGTAGCACATAAAAGGAGATGGTAGGCACCTTCTTCAGCTGACGCCCTCACCTCCCTCCAGTCGTAGCCCAATTTCTACATCATCATCCTCTCATGATGTTTGCGAATGACGATGTCCCTGATCACTTCGACAAGAATATTGTGCATGACGATTTTCTTGCTCACCTCGACAAGATGCGCAAACTGCGCGAACGACTTGCTGCACTCGGACAGTCCGTCAACAATGACGACTTTGCAGCCATCATACTCAGCTCACTTCTGGAACGCACCAATGATTCTGAGCAGGATAAGGACAAGGACAAGGACAAGGGCAAGGGCAAGGGCAAGGACAATATTTGGGTCTCATTCTGGAAATGTGAGTGGTATTTTGATGATGTTTCTAACAGTCTATCTATTTCTAACCATCCATTCATTCATACAGCTGTTTCCCTTCTCTTACTTGGAGCGCCTTCACTAGACGAGATTGGCAAGCTCAAAGGCAAGAAGTTCACGGAGCTCAGAGACAAATTAATGGAACGCACGAAAAACCTAACCGTCGTTTCTGCCCTTGCTGTCTCGTGCGTCCCAAACTGAGTCGCTCTGATGTACCCCTGGTATACTCACTCTGTTGCAATGCAAGGACCACTATTTCATTTCTGACCGCTCCTCCCCCAGTCGACTACGCAGCCTGGGACAATAAAGTCCCATACCTTTTTATCGCGGGTGCTTGTTGGAATACTATAATGTCCACTGCGTGCGGTCTTGGCTTAATTATGTACTTGGGCATCATGACCGAGGATTCCATTGAGGTCAGTGTGGTCACTGTTATCGATGATTCCTGTCGCTTTGGTAACAACCAACGACTATAGCGAATCAAGCGAAACTTCGATCGCTATATCGCTGTCGCGTTGTTGGTGATGCCAACTGTCTTCCTGTTCGTTGGCGCGGGCTGCGGTTCCATGGCATGGCTTGTCGCTGTCTGGTACGGTGACATACTTTGGGTGAAGATAGTAGTGACTGCTGTACTCTTTGTCTGCGTAGTGCTCGTTGTGCTCCTATTTCTGGTTTTTCCCAATCTCTGTTAGTTCTGCTACTATATCACAACATGCATCTGTACTCTTGGTACACTTAACATCGAAACTCATCTCTTGGAGATCAGTCCCTGGCAACAGCTACCGTGGACACTCGTTGAGGTTTGCAGTTACTAATGATGTCATTGAAATCTACTCCAAGTCGTTTGCGACAACCTGGCGTGCCGGTGGATGCGTCGGAACTGTCCGGTCCAAGAGTGCTCGGCAACACCGCAGTGAATAGTATGACAACGTGAACATGCACGGTGAATATGCGACGGTGCCTCTTCCTGCGAGTGTAACTGTCCGGTGCACTTTACGACGCTTCCTCGAATCCCTGTCACACGAATCAGACCTCACAAAACGATAGCTAGCTGTGACCAAGTAATGAACCTCCGCTGAATCTGCTTTGCAAAGTAGCGATAGTAAAAGATGCATACACACCTTTCCATTGCCTATGAATATACATTCGTGCCGAAATCAGAGCACCTGCTTTGGACCGGATCACAGGCATGACCTCACATCGGAGAGACATAAAAGCAACGAACCCTCGCTTGGCAGCCACCCATCACTCTTGTCCTGGTACAACTAACACATCATGGTGGACGTCCGGTCGAACTTCGCCCTCATGTACATCCGGGTGAACCTAGTGCCCATAGTGGTCAGCAGCGACCTACCAGTCCTCCTGGGGGTATTCATGGCGCGTTTCACTATCGTCACCGATTCTGCGACAACGACTACCATATGTATCTTCGACTCCAACCAAGCTGGAAGGCCATGACACCTCGGTATTTCTGCTTTCTTGTTGCAGCAATGATCCTCGGAAGCGAGGACGGCGAATCCCGCACAAAAATGGTGCAGAATCAAGGAAATCTTGTGGGACGACGAGTAGCCACTCAGAGATAGACGATATTGTGTACATTCAGTTCCCGTTATGCCCTTGGGCTACCCTTAGGGGTGGAAATCCGCAAAACTAGGGTACGGTCCGCTGGGACTGGATCCTAAAATTCAGTGTAATCATTCATTGGGCAGGAGGCGAAGGACGTTCGCACTTACCTACCGTGCACAACTACTCATCTTGCTTTAAGATCACATCCACCATAGTCAGTAAATGTCGAGTAAACCGGAAGTCTACTGAGCGATTTCATTCTGATCATGTCCTCAACGAATACACCACGCTGACGTGTCCCGTCGCAACTCTCGGACCTCAGCACTCCCTGTCGTTCGACGGAGGAACTGGAACAGACATGCGCCACATTTTGGTGTGATAGTTGGGTGAGCCTCCCGAAGCTCTGCCGTTCGAACTTCCTACTAAGCACTTCTTCATATGCCAAGTCATCTTGAAACGTCCTCTGAAGAAGGAACTGAAAAGCATACCCACCTCGCAGCGAGCTTCGTATCACATTCTCGAGCGCAAAGTTACCATGTGTGCCGCCGCTCATCCCCGCCGTTCCATAGGTGCCAGAGAAATGAGGATTGTTGTCAGAAGTCTGCAATGCACATGAATTTCCATATGATCGTCTGCCAGCGTGAGCCTAATCCAACGATAAGAATATATATAAAGTCGACGACGACGCGATACTTCACCAGACTCGTGCCTCTGTTGGTCTGCCAGGCCAACTCCTCATCCGACCTCATCCCTGGGACCAAGACAAGTGCCATTCCCAAACAATGCTGTACCTCTACTTCACATTTGCTTTCTTCCTCTCCACGCCTGTTCTCGGGCAGATGACCACTTTTCTCGCCTATGACGCCATCTATGGCGATGCCAGCTGTCCCCTCTCCAGTCTCGCCTGCTCTGATGGGTCCAACGGACTCGAAAGCAAAGGGTACACCACCCTTAGCTCTTTCTCCAACTTCCCTTACCTCGGGGGCGCACCAACCATCGCGAACTGGAACGACGCTAACTGCGGCAAATGTTATGCCATCACGTATGCAAAGGACACTATTAACATCCTTGCACTGGATGTGTCGAAAGATGGGTTTACGGTATCACCGCAGGCGATGAACGTACTGACGAACGGGCAGGCGAGCACGTTAGGGAGAGTGGAGGTCACTGCTGCTGAAGTGCCCGCCAGCGAATGTGGCTTGTGAGGGTGGGACGTGACGGCGCAGTTAACCTTGCTAGCGGTATGCTAGCAGGGATCAGCATTAAAGGACCTTGTCTGTATTTCTTGGCGATGTATCGAGTTCTGTACATGCCCGTTGATCCTTTGATTAGAATACGGGCTTTGTTATTTCTTCACTTGGACATCTTGTACCAGGACGTTGTCAGTGCCTTTCGCGGTACCTCTTAGACTTGATACGTGGTTTGTATAACATCTAGGCACTTCCTTCGGCTTCCAACAGGCAGTTTCAATCCAGACTCTCGTCGATCGTTTGTACGCAGTCTGCAAGTAGGCATTTTCCCAACTTCTCGTTTGATTCGTTGCAAAGATCGTCACGTAGAGAACGTTCGAACAATATGGCGGATACGAACTTGCCTTGCAGCGGTTTGCGAAAATAATGTCAGTTAGCAAAATATTTGTGAGCGCGTCGTGAGCCCTTCCCGATATGGGAATGTAGGAATGTGTGCTTTCATCGCATTCATTTGTCTACGTACTACTAGCGATGGCCGAACTACATCATGTACTCACGAGATGGCGCAGTAAACAACATGTGCTGCAACGTACTTACCCATTCACTGTTATTGCGGCACATAGTATCTATCATCTCGAACAATCGCGTCCTTTAGCCGTGCACAGTGACTATATCCTGGTCTTCTGTGGTGCTGGGCGAGCGTACGCTCGTTCTTACTCGTTTCGTCAACAACCGCGAGTTCCGACCCGTCGCCAGTGAGATTTTCGTGAGTCGGAGTGACGCCGGTAGTTAGCCTCACTACATCAGTAAAGCTAAGCGTTCAAAAACCTGGGTTTTCAAGCGCTTAATGTTCGCCAGTGTTTGCCGAGCATTCAAAAACTGTCTAATGTGCATGCTGTAATTTGGCTGAATTCACTGATGTAGTGTTTTCATGCCAGCTTGGTACGTTTCCTTGTTGGGCGGAGCTCACGACGCGCTCACAAATATTTTGCTAACTGACATTATTTTCGCAAACCGCTGTAATAGATCTTCAGCGCTTAGTCGAATACAAAACAAGCCACATTCAAGATGAACAGACCCTTCAACACCTGAAGCTCCTTCACATGCTCCAGAAAGCAGAGCTCTACGAACCTGGCATCAATGGACGATCATGCGACGTAAAATTCTGGATCGAAAGTTATCGCATGGCAAATGATTCGCATTTCGAAATTGAAGAACCCTAGAGTTAGACAAGTCACGACTCCTGTGGATTGATAGCTATCACACGGTGGGTTGTCGAGGTGGACCTTGTCGACTTCGAAAATCTCAAGTCCCTCACAGTGCAAGGGAAACATTTTTCTTTTTCACGAAAAAACGCAAGAGAAGCACCTGGTAGGATGGTAACACCATTCTAGTGGGCGAACATCGAAAACTATTTGCCACTTTCAAATCCTGAGCGGTCAGTACGATATCCAAGTTCCAAGATGCAGTCCACCTTCGGCTTGGGTCGTGAACCGCAGTATCGACCAACTCAGCACGTTGACCAGGCAGCATCTGCTCCTCTTTAAACGGGTCTTCTAGATTGCTACGTGGTTATTGTCAACGCGCCCGGTGTAGCTCCGCGGGCTTGAGGAGCTTCGATACCCCTCCAGACGCATAGCGCTGTACCGACATCTTGCTTCCCCTTACAAGACACTGCTTGGGTACCTAACACATAGCGACAGTTCAGTGCGAAAGCGATCAACGAGTGGCAGCCATTTCCTGATCAACGATTTAACCACTCTAATGATGGGGTCGTACACGAGCGACGATTTGGAGAAGGGGTGACCGCCATGGGCTCGAAACTAAAATGGGGACACACCGCAGGAGCACTGAACCTGCCATACGATGATACTGCTCGCCATGCACGGTCCTCCCATCGTACTCGTCCTTGCAGCAAAGGCATATGACTTCGACGGGAGTACTAGCAAGTCAGCGAGACAACAGCGAGCCGATACAGCTACGGCCGTGCTGTCAACGACTTCTCTCACAACCGTGCGAGAGCAGCACCATAACTGCGATATCAATTTCCGACGGGAACGAAAAATCCAGACAAAAACGTTGCCGCGAGATGTTGGCGACAACCTTGCCTTCCGCGGTAGGTGATATCCGTGTTTCCTTAGGTCGTCCAGTCGATACAATTACCATAAGCAGGATGTGGATGTAAGGTTGGGAACTTCGAAGGACGCGGCGCCGCCATAGCCTCAGCGTGCTTACACAATCTATAGAACGAGTACAATTTTTTCTTTCAAGTGCAGCTTTCTGGCTGCGGTGATTTAGGCATGCTATCTGCGTTGTATCGATAGAATTCCCTGGCAAACAATCTCCGAATCTCATGCGCTGCTGGAGCACCGTGCAGACCTTGAAATTGAGACGCTGTCAGACTCTCCCTCCCTCCATCTACTAGGCCTGACTTCCCATCCGAGCCGATCCCAACGATCGACACGAGTCCCATTCCTCAAAGGCTATGATTCCCTACTTCCACTTTCTCCTTGATTCCAGTCCTTTCCCAAACGACCGCCTCCCTCGTCTGCGATGCCGGTGACTGTTTTGTATCTTTATACCTCTTTGTCTATTGCGATGCAACTATCCCCTCCCCATTCCTTCCTCCTCAGATGGGTCTACGGACGAAAAAACAAAGGGGCATGCCACTCTTAGTTCATTCCCCCAACTCCCTTACTTCTGAGCTGCGCCGACCGTCGTTGACTGGAGCACCCCAATTGCGGGGATTGTCATTCTGTTGCATATGGGTACGGACGGCCAACACGACCGCGATGCATCGTCGAGGTTACGATATCACCGCGCGCGAAATTGAGAAGCAGGCTGAGATGGATGCTGAGTGTCCGCTCTGAGGACCATCTGAGCCTTGATTTTCACGTCTTTCGTAGTTGAAACGTTGTTGAGAGTCGTATCCCTGAAAATCACTCGTGACTGCCTTGTCCCCGTCCAGCGGCGACGCTTCAACTCTTCTGCCCGCGACCTAGGATGTTCTGTCCGTAAATTGCGACTCAGTTTTGCGAGTTACAAAGTCGATGCATCTGTGGTGAGTTTTTTGTTCTCGATGCCGAGCTGCCATTGATTGATATTCCTGGGACATGCACAGGCTGTAGCCATACAGCATGACAGTGTTTTCGTACCGCAAATCGGTATGGAGGCACCGATGTGGCGTTATTTCTGGAGAGAATTCTTATCATTACAGTTTAATATTACTAACCGTCCTTGTCCCAGCATGCCATACCCCCTTACACGTGTTCAGGTTCCACGTATCGATTCCGAATCAGATTCCCTACCGGGCATGTCCTTCTCGAAGGATTGGGTTCGGACCCTGGGTTCTCGCCGTGTTGTGTGCGTATCCCTATCGAAACGCAACTGTGCACACACCGTGGACTTGTTCATTTTATCCCCTAGATGCACGAGAGACCGTGAAGCAGTGCAACTTCGATGGCATGCTACTTATTCTCCGGCGTTTCCTATGGATACCGCGTTGATCAAATACCTAGTCTGAACCACAAGCGGTCTCATACATGACTTATGCCATCGTCGAGCGCCTTACGAACAGTCCTTGTACTTTTTACCCTGCGGCGGCAGCCTTCGGATCTCTCCTGCTCATCGGTTTTTTTTTTCCCCCTTGAATTGATCTAAGTAACACGATCACCCACCCATGGCACGCACAACATACATACCTCTCTCGCTCCTTGTTCGCTGGGTTGCAAACGGTACTTCATACAATATCACCGTAGCAACAAGATGGGCCTCCGATGTCCGCTGCCTTTCGTGCCATCCGCGAGCTTCCCTGTCCCGGCAGGTTACTTCCTCCTGATACCATAGCTTAGATCCGCGGTCTATCAGTGATGTTTTTAATAGGCCCTGACATCCGACCACTGCCTGGGCTATAATCCTCTGCAGTTGGCACAATTGGATCCAGTTACTGCATATGTCTGTGAGCATTGATTTACTACTCAAAGAAATATTCTTGTGAGCACCCCACTATATCTCGTCACAGAGTGACGAGCCTGTGCCAAAGCAACGATCAACTGGAGGTCGGGCTCAGGGCAACACTCGAATCACATTGCTATGGTGTGGAGGGTATGAGTATAGGGACATCCACCAATGGAAGGTAGGTTACAACGTCGATACCTGGTATGAAGAGAGCCATCCTTATTGTTGCCATAATAGCTGGACGAGGGTGAAACTTAGTCTTGCGCACTGAATTGCATCATGTAATCAGGAGCTGTGCAGGAGGCATTCCAACGGTAGTTCATCCCAGCCATCTCGCTGTGATCGCCACTCAGATAAAGATGCCCCTCTACAACAGGATCATGCTCAGAAAACTACGCAGACTTTTCCACCGAGGCCTTCGCTTGTTCAAAATGGTCTCGGAAGCTCCAAAGATTGAAGGTCTGTTCCATGAGCGGGCCCCTTACGGGCTCGCGAACGTCCGCGGGTGGTACTCCCTCATCCGTAACAACCCTCTTACGTCGGATTGTCAAGTCATCGGAGTCGGCTGGTACAAGAAACGGAAAGGGGCAGAGCATGAATTCTTGCGGTTTGACATCTCTTCCCCCGACAATCAGCACACATGCATTGTCATTGCCGAGAGGAGTGGTGGTGGTGTTTGCAGTCCAAACTCCGGTACTTCTGCTGACATTCGTTAGTAACTTAAGCCGCTGACAATTCTGTAGACGCCACACAAGCTGCCGATACCCTTGCTCAAACGGACACAGCGGTAGACGCTACGGCGTCGTCGCTCAGTCCACCAGAGACTTTTGCACTCTTACCTGATGTTGGCGATTCCACTGCAAGTAGTGCCGACGAAAGCAGTCCTCCGCTAGACAAAGTTACTCAGAGCGACGGGGAAAAAAAAACAGAAGAGGAATACAGCTCAAATTGCAGCTTCTTTTTCCTCCGGTTCCGAGCGCTACGCCTGTGATCGCGTTTACGTTGCAACGCGTATTAGTGCAGCAGGCGCTTGGGTGGAGGAGAGGTGCGACAGGTCTCGACTTGTCTGTACTTTATCGTTTACTGGCGCAAGGCCTACTGCAAACGAGCTAGCGACCTTGCTTTATGTAACCTCGGCACAGGAGCCCAAGTACAACCACGACACACAATGCTACTGGTTCGCCGCAACTGTGTTTGATGCTCTCAACATACTATATGACGGTGCCAAGCAAGATCCTACGCCCCATCAGGGGGAGTACAATCTGTGGGGTACCGGTCGATTTCAAGGCCAGCGGGGAAGAGGTGTGCGCCAAGTATCGTGGTGCTCGAGCTGCTTTAGCCGAGGAAATTGAGCAGTAGCGCAGGCTCAAACAAGAGGTAACTTGTCTTTGATTTCTGTTTACTGTCCGTGCTTATGATGTCCCAAACAGCAAGGGGAACAGAGGCAGCGAGAACGTAAACGCCAGGCCGCAGAGGAAGCCACGAAAAGGAAGGGCAGAGGGAGCGCGAGCAACGTGAAGCTACCGAGCAGGAAAGGCAGAAGGAACGCGAGCAACGCCAGGAGGCCGAGGAAAGGGCACGGGCAACGCAGGAAGAGATTGCGAAGTTGCTCCAGGAAGTGGAGGTGTTGAAGAGAGCGGTGGCAAGTACTCAACAGGCTTGATGGACGGTGCTGGCCGCACATATACTTATACCAGTCTCGCTTTTTCCTTGTCATTCCCGGACTGCATACGATACGACTCCATGCTTTTCAATATTGTCATTAGTGGATGTCACGACATCTCTGTCTATCTAACTGCCTTATTACCATCACTCCTGGGGATCTCAGGCGTATATCCCTGACATTCTGCTGCTGAGTTGGCATAGCTTTGTACACCTCCTGGGTACTGCCATAACCACGAGGATGCTGTCCCTCGACGAAGAGGTCCAACTTTACACCACCGACGCAGAACGGGAGAAATACTCTCTTCTAGCTACGCTCTTCGGTATTGTAGTCGCACTGGACTTTCTGGAACGCGCATACGTCCGCGATTCAATTACTGCCGCTGAGTGAGTCCAACCAATAGTTATCCATTCCATCGATCCTATCGGTCGGTTCAATGTGGAGCTCGTACATACTAAGATGTACTACGAGAGGTACTCGCCGGCATGCACGAGGTTGTTGTCGCAGTATATGACGATGCTCAAGTTGGTCAAGGATTCGATCCCGTCGATCGAGGAGTTCATGACCTGCTATCGCGTGAGTCCCGCTTCTCCTCTTTCTCCTTTCACCCAACGCTTTGATATTGTTCTGTACGTACGGCGATGACCTAGCTTGATACGCCTGCTGCGCTGCATAGGATCAAGGTAGGGGTACCCCCCACGGTGGAGCATTCGAGCGAGGCTGGTCCTGAGACTGGAAAATGGATAGCTGAAACGACAAAGGTACAGAGATCCTTCGATACTCTGCTCACCTATTTCCCACTTCTCCGCATCTCACCGCACGCTTGATCTTCGCACTAAACATGTAACGCACAGAACTTCATAACCTTCATGGACGCACTCAAGTTACGTCTGCGCGCAAAAGATCAGCTACATCCTATCCTTCAAGAATTCGTTACAGGGTATGCGAGGTTTAAAGGGAGCAAGGAATAGGAGGGAAGAAGTCGCATGGTCGGGTGGTAAGTGCTCTCAGATTCGTTCTTTACCTCCTCCTTCACACACCTCGCTCGCACACACGAAAAGGTTGATCACCCTCAACGGGATGTACATACACAACAATTTTAGTAGTTGAACCGTACGAATTTCAAGGCACCTGGCAGTGCTCTAAATCAAGCAGTGTTGACTGTGGGCTTGTCGTGCCGAGCTCAGGGAACCAACAAGAAACCTGCTATGTCACGTAGTATTACTTCTCGTAGCCCCTCGAGCTTGGTAACGCAAATAGAGGACACACCATCAACCACGATGCCTATTACTTCAGAAGCTTTTGCAACTTCAACACGAGTGCACTCTTTTTGGTGGAGGACGGAAGAGTCGGCTTGGGTCAACTCCTCTGGGTAGGAGGTACGTAGAGTATGCGGCCGTCATTTTTGTAGTCCTCGGCAGCCTGAGGAAAGATAGAAACGTTTCAAGTATATGGGGATATCGCCTGAACGTGTCAGATGAGTAAACTTGTGTCGGGCCATCCGTTGCGCTTTAGAAATTGTAACCAGTGCACATGTCTGTTTGGTGATGGCAAATGCACGCGGACGGATTGAGAAGAAGTCCTTCAAGAGTACGATACAAACCAAGTGCGTACCATATGATAGAATATAAACTGGGCCACAGGGAGTGCGGGCGGGTGAAGGGACAAATACACGCACACAAAACATCTATCCTCTACATTACATTACATTGTTCAGCCGGAGGCAGCATTTGCCAATCAACTGCGAGCAACCCAGCGGGGAGTGCTTGAGCTGCCATTCCACATAAGTACATCGCTCAGTGTCCGGCGCGAGACCCTTCGGACGCATCCTTGGCATTGCATTATGTACTTGACTGGAGGTGGTACGTGTTCGCGAGTTCTCCGTCTAAAACACATCTATGGGGTTCCTAACTCTCTCGGTGCAGGCCAGTGCCGTGCACCGACAACGACGGTAAGACTGCCGACAACGCTAGAACTAGCTTTCCTCGACACGAAACGTGGACTATGGTGGAGTATGTGGAAATGGAGGGAGGAGGGATAGGAGCAAACTTTGAAGAAAAGATCTTTAGGTCAAGCCACGGGTCCCGCGTATGTCCCGCATGTTTCTCGGATTCACCACAGCTTATGCCAGTGCGTGCTGACCTTGAGAAGAAGGGTGATTTGTTGTAAACATCATACTCTCAGAATTGATATGTTTGACGACTACATGATCACAGCAAGGCACCGTCGCTCCATGGGTCCAGATACTTTTACCCATTTCCTATGCATCCACCGAGTCACTCACGTACTGGACTCCGAGCACCTCCCAGCGCAATTTAAACGGTCTCGGCGATTGGCGGTGTTTGACTGCGATGTCAGAATGTATCGGCCATCATCCTGCTGAAACTGAGCGAATTCATAACGGCAGTGAACGGTACTACCGGGTCAGTTAACCGCCAATCTTGTCCTCTCCTCAGGTTCGCACATGTCGCAGGTTGTTCAAGAGTGTACCCACCGTTTAATCGAACTCCCCTCTAATGTACATCCTGGAAAACACGGCACGCGTAGTGAGGTTGTGTAAACGCTGTCAGCCATGTCCCCTGCGCTCGTCGCACACATTTCCGATATCCTGCAATGAACCCTTGATACTTGACTAGGCATGAAGAGGTCGTCGTTTTCCATGGGAAACTCCAAGAAAATATAGCCATGGAGGTGTACTTTGGCCGTACCTAGGAAACTGGATTATGGTAAGTACCGTAATACTCGGATTAATCAAGAAGTTTATATGCATGCAGGCATTGCGCAATCCGGCGTGGATTCGCGGTTCACCCCCTTGATCTTCGACACGAACATGGAAGGCGTTAGCTCACTTACCATGCCCAGCGTTTTAGCTCTTGGCTAAACGTCAGATCCTCCATAACTAATCGCCATGCATTAACAGGTCTTTCCGTACAACCATGAACCTATCCTGTCGATGGATTGTCGTGAGTGCCGATCGGCGACTATCCACTACTGCATGATAGAGCTAAACACGTTGTGGAGGGGACGGGGCGTGGGCACACACTTTACATCAAGGAAATGGTGATTGGTCGGAGACCCACCTAGGTCCCAATTACTGCACGGGAGTATGAGAATAAGAGAATTGATAGCAAGAGTAGAGTTTCCACTACCAGATTGAGTTCCTAATACCTAATGGAACTATGTCAAAATCATGTAAATGACAATCTCTAATCTGTCCAGCTGTCGACACCGCGCAAATCAAGTTGACAATCCACACCCGAATTCGAAACATGCTAACAGACCTAGGAAAATATATCGCGTCTTGTCTGTAAGTCAGTCTCTGTCAACATTTAAGATTGAAGCTATCTGCCAGAGATACTGCACATCTGCGGGGGCAGTATGAGACATAAGTACACACGTTGCAAATTATACACGGGTCAAGAATGTTCTAACCATGTGTGGAAGTCCCTGAAGGGAGCTCTTCCATTCACATCTCCTCATGTCTGTCGCTGATTAGATGTGGCAGGCAATATTTCATTCATATCAATTGCAGGCGCTAATTTATGTATTACAGTTTTGTTCATTCCGAATTACAGTAACAAAGCTGGAAAAAGAAGGAAAACAACCACATACAACAATGCGCTATACTCTCTGGAATACGTGTTGTGGCGGAGTCTTTGCTTTGGAAGAGCAGGTGATATCTAGGCGCAATCACAAGCTTCTCCGGAACACGCTCCACGTTCCCGCATATCTCGGTTCCACCCGCATAGTGTTTAGGCTTTGCTTTGTGGGTTGAGGGGATTCATTTACATTGCTGCTCAGCGCTCAAGGTTGCGACGTTCAACGTTCGGCCGCCATGCTGCCTTCTTTGGTCCACCTAGGCTATACTAGGTTCAATACATTTTACTCAAGCGTCTATGACCTTCCCCCAGCCATGTGTTATATGCCTCATTGCAAATGGCGAGTAGCACGTAAAGGGACGTTGACCTATCAATGCATGGCGATTGGCTATCGAGGCTTTGATGTTTACCCAAGGGCGAAAACGTTGGGAACGGTGGGCAAGCGTGTTAAACGCCTTCGAGGTGACTGTTGCTGGGGGCTGGATTCTAAGATATAAATTTCCTCATTCTAATGCCGTGTCCAGAATTCCCAAGGAAATAAAAGATACATGTTGTGAGATTGTAGTAGGACTAATTGACCACACCAATAACCAGAATCGAGAACATAACGACGGCTGTGGAGCTAACAAACAGAATGGTCTCTACAACTCAGCCAAGTTTCGTTGCCGAACCAGGTAGACCCAATCCATGCGTCGACAACACAGAACGCTGCAAAGAACAGGAAGAAGTGGATATCAAAGGTAGTTGACGATTTGGGATCCTGTTCCATCGTGAGAGAGGAATATGCAGAAATTGGACTACGACTGGGGGGAGGTGAGGGCGTGAACTGAAGAAGGTCCTTACCTTCTTCAACCCCTAGCTTTCCATACAACCTTGAACCTATCGTACCGATGGATTGTCATGAGTGCTGATGTAACTATCCATTGCCGGTCGTAGGGTTCCTACACCGGAACCATATTGAATTTACGCAAGCAGCTTGTTAAACGTGTCCAGCTGTCAATTGACGCCAAACAAATCATCAGGCTCGTGGCATGGTCTTCACAAAAAGTACCCACGGATCGCTATGCGAAGGGTCAGCACTGGTCGACACAAGCTTTGTTAAAGGCTTCCTGTGAGTCAGTCTCCATGAACATTTGGAATTGAAACTGTTCGCTAGAGATATAAGCGCTTCTGTGTGGGTAGTACCCCCGCCCTCATGTACATCCTGGCAAACATACTACGCAGAGTGGTTTAGCGCAACCTCTCTGTTGCGCCGTGGGCACTCATGGCACAGACCTCTGTTTCCTCCGGATCTGCAGCAGCGATCACAGGACGCGTGCACATCTACGGCAATCATTGCGCACAGATGGCATTCAATGAAGACGGTCTTGCAGGAAGGTGAGTGGCTGGTGATGGAGTATATGTTCAGTTCCTGTTATATCTTCAGGTCAGAAGAATCCGCGAAATCAAGAGCATGAGCTTCTGGGACTCCGATCATTTGTCTAGCATAAGGTGGAAGGCACTTGCACTCACTCACCGTGTGCAACTGGCTTACAGTAAAAGCAGATTTAGCGTACTCCAATCACCACCACCACTTATCACTCGTTGAATAGTCTTCTGTACGACCCGTCTTGTGGGTAGATCAGTGCGGGATGCCGATGATTTCCCGCTGATATACGGGAGAGCTGAATACTTGGTGGCTCGTGATGGATGTGTGCTCGCACTTTGTACCGCTGAAACTCTCTTCGTGGTTATGTTATGTCTAACTGTCCGTGGCATAGTAGGAATTGGCTTATTGCAAATGCGTCGTACGGGGAGCAGGTTTGGGAGGACGACGGCCATATAGAACGAGTTCCAGTACTAGCTGTAGGAGTGAAGGGTGGTGAGGACTTCCCAGACTCACGAACGTAAAGACAACACCACAGGTGTAGATATCATGTGTTGAATGCCAAGTGTATATAACAACGGTCGAAATCGTTCGGCACAAGCACAGAAAGGCCGTTTCATGGACAGTCACAGTGAGGAGCGCACCATGTCAGTATTTCCATTGGGACTTGTGTCTGTGAACACATGTGTTAGAGCCAACGAAGGGAGAGTCATTTCAAGCCGCTTGAACTGTAGAAGATGGAAAATGACGTAGTACTCCTACAGTGGCAATCGACGAACCCGCTGCTAGTGAGACGTACTCTTAGACGACATCTCTTTGTATTTTTCTCCGTCGAGAGTCCAGTTAATACATCGTCAGGTACGGCTTCTCTGGAGAATGACGCCGCTACACATCCCACGGGCACTCGACTTCCGACGAAAATAGCGTCAGAACCTAAAGAGACCAGCCTTAGGCATATGTTAATGCGTACCATGGGGTGACTGTTATCCGAACGTATTAGCTCGTATCATGAATGAGGCACACCGCGCATATACGAGGGCTTGGGATATTTGTCTACACAGGCCATGGGCCACTCACCATTTGCATCTGCTACCAAGTGAGCGTCTTCTTCTTCGTTTACGCAGCGATCAGAAGAGCAGTGGCAGACATAGACTCCATCTGATCTACGACCTTCTACAACACGTCCGAAGACCGACAAGTCGAGTGCGTTTATGCAGAGGTATTGCATACCTGACGTATCGAGTTTCTTTGCAGCCTTATCAATTCCCACTATCGCAATGATATCAACAGTGACATCGGTGCTAGCTTATTTTACTCACATTGGTGAACCACACGGAAGCAGAGACGAATGCAAAACGGAGGTGATTGAGAGACGACGGCCAGGGAGAACCAAAAACACAGCGAATGGCAGATTGTATGCCAATGTAAGCTTTCGCGTTGGGCCTTCCGGCGCGACGTAGATATATTATGATCAGTGTACGTACCTGTCTTATGATGAGAAACGCGTGCGCAGACGGATTGGCAAGAAATCCTTCAAGAGTACGATATCTTGGGGACAATATGAGAATGTACTTTGATAGCGCACAACAGGAAAACGTTCTGAAAGGTCGCGGAGAGCGTGCTTTTTCATAGTGCCCCTCCGCCTTCACGATTTCATCAAAAGAGAGCTTGCACTTACTCGCCATGCCTGGCCCCCACACCTGAACTCTTCGTGATCAGACTCACTATATCTATTCACCGATTCGCCGTCACTGCTCATTATGCACTGGCCGTCCAGATCTGGTCTTCCGTGCAAGCCCTCGTATCGATGGCCAAGAGTGAGATGTTAGTGACCCCTCATTTTACACGGGCGGGACTAAATACTTGGTCCGAAAGTTGAGGGATACACTTGGAATTGCAATATGTATTTAGCTGTAGGTGGTACGTGTTCACGAGTTCTGCAATCTGAAACACACTTATGAGGCTCTTAAATCTCCCGGTCTAGGCAGCGATATGCACCGACAACAGCACCAAGATTGACAATGACGTCAGGACTTGCTTACTTCGACGCGAAAGGTGGACCACGATGGAGTATATGAAAATGGAAAGGGAAGGGGGGGGGATAGGGACAAACTTGAAAAACAGACAAAAGCTGAGTAGATCTTCAGACACTGCATGTCATATCATGGGTCCTGCATGTTCCCTCGAATTTATCGGATTCACCTTGGCTCATGTCGGTGCGTTCACAGCAGACGCAGTCTAGCTGGAGGCGGACGCTGGGAGATTCAACGAAAGGACGAAGAAAACTCCCAGAGCCGCGCGGTGTGAGCATGTCACTACCGAAAAAGGAGAGTCAAATCTCGAGTCGCTCACTTCTCTAGTGGCACCGTTCGTCATGCAGTGAGCGGCTGACCTCCAGGAAAAGAGTAACCCGCTGTAAGCATCATGCTCTAACGCTCAATATGTCCGACGCCCACACGATCGCAGTAATGTGCCGTCGCTCTGCGGGTCCAGAAGCTTGATTCACTTCCTATGCATGCACCAAACCACTCACGTGCCGGAATCCGAGCACCTCACTCTTGTCCCAAACACAATTTGAACGATCCCAGTGACCAGTGGCATATGACTGTGATGCCAGGATGTACCGGCCATCATTCCACCAAAATCGGGAGAATTATTCTTGTGACAGCAATGAACTGTACCTTTGAGTCACTCAACCGCCAATCTTGTCCTCTAGTCAGGTTCACATATATCGCAGGTCGTGAGCCTATCCGCCACTTAGACGAACTTCTCTCTGATGTACATCCTGGAAAAGATGGTGGGCGAAGCAAGTAAGACTTGTGCCAACATTGTCAGCAATGCCCCCGCGTTCGTCAAGCAAATTTCCAGTTTCCTGGCAACGAACCCTTGATACATCACTAGGTGCGGAAGAGTTCTTGTGTTCATGGAAAGCTCTAGGAAAACATAGCCACCAAGCCTGGGAAGGCAAGCACTACGATACTCGGGTCAGTCAAGAAGTTTATGTACACGCAGGCTTTGCACAATCCGGGGTGGAGAAGGGGAATCCCTTCGACCCTCATTATCTTCGACATGAACATGGAAGGCCTTTAACGCGCTTGCTCACCGTTCCCAACGTTTTCGCTATTGGCTAAACATCAGAGCCTCCATAACCAGTCGCCATGCATTGACAGGTCAACCCCTAGTTTTCCGCACAACCTTAAACATATCATATCGATGGATTGTCGTGAGTGCTGATGTGACTATCCATTGTCGCGTGGTGGCGATAAACACGTGGTTGTGAGTCCATGGGTATGCGCTTCGCGTCAAGGAAATGGTGATTGATCAGAGGTCCTACGAAGTCCTACATACCGCAGTGGAGCGTGAAAGAATTGATAGCGGGAGTAGAGTTCCTACCCCAGAACCATATTGAAATTACGTAACCAACTTGTTCGCCCATCGACAGCTGGATACACCCGATTTCGAAACTTGGCTCCAAGTTCCTTCGCACCCCTGCTTTGCGTCATATGGTCTTCACAAAGGCTCGCTATGCAAAGAGACAGCACTGGTCGAAACAACCTTCGTTAAAGGTGAGTCCTGAGTCAGTCTCCGTCAACTTTGAAATTGAAACTATTCGCTAGAGATACAGAGATTCCCTGGCGCTTCTGTTAGGGTAGTAGGAGCACACACGCTGCAAATTACACACTGGCCAGGGATGTTCCTGCAATGTATGGAAGTCCCTAAAAGAACTCCTTCCGCACGGTCTCCTCATGTTCGTCGTTTACTAGATTACAATTTTTCGTCTCGGAACAACTGCAGGGCACTGATTCATGTATTACAGGTTTTTTCGTTCTAAATTACAACAGAAAACAGAAAAATATGTACAACAACGCATTATTATTCCCTGGAATATGTGTTGTGATCGAGTCTTTGCTTTGGGAGAACAGCTAATATCTAGACACAGTTATAAGCTTCTCTGGAACAAACTCCACGTTCCTACATATCTCGGTTCCACTTACATAGCTTGCAAGTGGGCGTTTGTCTTGTGGGTCGAGGGCATGTGTGGCTAGCTCCACGGACGTGACTTCTGGGTTACTACTCGGCGCTCAACGTTCAGCGATCAACCACCATGCTGATATATTTGGCTCACACGAGCTATACTAGGTTATATACGCTTTATTCAGGCGCCCATGGCCTTTTTCCTGGCTGCGAGTCGTATGCCTCATTGCAAATCGAAGGTAGCACATAAAAGGAGAAGGTAAGGATCTTCAGCTCATGCCCTCACCTCCCTCCAGTCGTAGCCCAATTTCTACATCTTCGTCCTCTTACGATGCGCCGGGAACACAATTTCTTAACTCCCACTCATCAGGACGAGAAATATACTCGCACACAACGGATCTGTCGATGTGAGTGGTATTTTGATGACGTTTCTAACAGTCTATCCATTTCTAACCATCCATGCATACAGTTGCTTTCCTTCTCTTACTTGGCGCACCTTCGCTAGACGAGCTTGCTGAGATCCCAGAGCCGGACTTCAAGGAACTCAGAGACCGTTTAATTACTCGCATGACAAACACGACCGTCGTTGCTGCCCTTGCAGTCTCGTACGTCCCAAACTGAGTTGCTCTGATGTACCCCTGATATACTCACTCCGTTGCAATGCAAGGGCCACTGTGGCATTTCTGACCACCACTCCCCCAACCCCCTATGCAGCGTGGGACGAAGAATTCCCATACGCTTTTATCGCATGCGCTAGTGGGAGTGCTATATTGTCCGCTGCGAGTGGTCTTGGCTTAATTATGTACTTGGGCGTCATGACCCACCAATCTGTTATGGTCAGTGGTTACTGTTATCGATGATTCCTATCGCTTTGTTAACAACCAACAACTCTAGCGATTGAAGGGCAACGTCCTCAAACGCTGGGCTGCTGTCGTGTTGATGACGATTCCAACTCTCTTCCTGTTCATTACGGCGGGCTGTGCTTTCCTCGCATGGCTTGGCGCTGTCTGGTACGGTAATAAACTTTGGATGAAGTTAACAATGACCGCTTTAACCCTTGGCTGCTCAGCGCTCATTGTGATGCTGTTTCTGATCATTCCCATGCTCTATTAGTTCTGCTACCACATCACAACGCCCATCTTGTAGTCTCTGGATACTTGGCATTGGAATAACGAAATTCATATCTTGGAGGTCATGTCCATGGCAACAGCCACCGTAGACGCAAAAGAATTTGTTGAGGTTTGTGGTTACTAATGATGCCATTGAAATCTACTCCGAGTCGTTTGCGACAACCTGTTGCGCTGGTGGATTTTTCGGTCCAAGAGTACTCGGCAAACCCACAGTGAAATAGTATGACAGCGTGAAGATGCAACAGTACCTTTCCCTGCGAATGTAACTGTCCGGCGCACTTCACCACGCTTCCTCGAACCCCTGTCAAACGAATCAAACCTCACAGAATGGTAGCTAGCTGTGACCATAGTAATGAGCCTTGCGTATTGCATCTGATGACTCTGGCTCGCAAAGTAGCAATAGTAGAAGATGTACACACACCTTTCCATTTCCTATGAATGTACATTCCTGCCGAAATCTGGACACCTACTTTGGACCGGATCGCAGGCACCACCTCACGTCGAAGAAGGGAACTCTCGCTTGAGAGCCACCGACTACCCTTCTGGAACAACTAACACAGATCATGGTGAACATCCGGTCGAACTTTGCACTCATGTACACCCGGGTAAACATAGTGCGCATAGTGGTCAAGGGCGGTCTCCCGGTCCCGCTGGGGGGATTCACGACTCGTTCCACTATCATCTTCGGTTCTGCGACGACGACGACGACATGCATCTTCGATTCTGGCCAAGCTGGCAGGCCATGAGAACCCCAGTATTGTTGCTTTCGTTGTTGTAGCAACGTTCCTCGGGAGCGAGGACGTTGAATTCTGCAGAAACGGCGCCGAATCAAGGAAATTTTGTGGGACGATGAGTGGCCACTCAGAAATAGACAATGTTGCATGCATTCAGTTCCCGTTATGTCCTTGGGCCACCCGTAGGGGTGGAAACCCGCAAAACTAGGGTACGGTCCGCTGGGACTGGGTTCTAAAGTTCAATCTAATCATACATTGAGCAGGAGGCGAAGGACGTTCGCACTTACCTACCGTGCACAATTTCTCATTTTGCCTTAAGATCACATTCACCATAGCCGGCAAGTGTCGAGTAGACCGGAAGTCTACTGAGCGATGTCATTCCGATCATGTCCTCAACGAATACACCTGCGACTCTCGGACCTCAGCACTTCCTATCGTTCGACGGAGGGACCTGGAACAGACATGCGCCACATTTTGGTGTGATAGTTGGGTGAGCCTCCCGAAACTCTACCGTTCGAACTTCCTACCAAGCGCTTCTTCATATGCCAAGTCATCTTGAGCGTGCTCCAAAGAAGGAACTGAAAAGCATATCCACCTCGCAGCGAGCTTCGTGCCACATTCTCGAGCGCAAAGTTACCATGTGCTCTACGCATCCCCGCCGCTCCACAGGTGCCGGAGAAACGAGGATCTCTGTCAGAAGTTTGCATTGCACATGGATCTCCATATGACCGTCTGCCAGCGTAAGCCTAATCCAACGATAAGAATATATATAAAGGCGTCGACGACGCGATACTTTACCAGACTCGTGCCTCTGTTGGTTTGCCAGGCCTAACTCCTCATCCGACCTCATCCCTGCGACCGAGACAAGTGCCATTCCTAAACAATGCTGTACCTCTACTTCACATTTATTTTCTTCCTCTCCACTCCTGTTCTCGGGCAGATGACCACTTTTCTCGCCTACGACATCATCTATGGCGATGCCAACTGCCCCCTCTCTAGTCTCGCCTGCTCTGACGGGTCCAACGGACTCGAAAGCAAAGGGTACACCATCCTTAGTTCCTTCTCCAACTTCCCTTACCTCGGGGGCGCACCAACCATCGCGAACTGGAACGACGCTAACTGCGGCAAATGTTATGCCATCACGTATGCAAAGAACACTATCAATGTCCTTGCACTGGATGTGTCGAAGGATGGGTTTACGGTGTCACCACAGGCGATGAACGTACTGACGAACGGGCAGGCAAACGCGTTAGGGAGAGTAGAGGTCACTGCCGTTGAGGTGCCCGCCAGTGAATGTGGCTTGTGAGGATGGGAGGTGACGGCGCAGTTAACCTTGCGAGCGGCACGTTAGCAGGGATCAGCATTGAAGGACCTTGTCTGTATTTCTTGGCGGTGTATCAGGTTCTGTACATGGACCCGTTGATCCTTTGATTAGAATACGGGCTTCTTGTTATATCTTCACTTGGACGACTTGTACCGGGACGTTGTCGGTGCCTTTATCGGTACCTTAGACTTGATACCTGGTTTGTATAACATCTAGGCACTTCCTTCTGCTTCCAACAGACATTTTCAATCCAGACTCTCGTCGGTTGTTTGTTCGCACCGTCCGCAGGTAGGCATTTGAAGTTCCTTCACATGCTCCAGAAAGCAGTGCTCTACGAACCTGCCGTCGATGGACGACCATGCGACATAAAATTCTGGATTGAAAGTTATCACATGGCAAACGATTCACATTTCGAAATTGAAGAACCCTAGAGTTAGGGCAGAGTCACGACTCCTGTGGATTGATAGCCATCTCACGGTGGGTTGTCGAGGTGGACCTTGTCGACTTCGAAAAATCTCACGTCCCTCACATTGCAAGGGAAACTTTTTTCACGAAAGAACGCAAGGGAAGCACCTGGTAGGATGGTAACACCATTCTAGTGGGCGAACATCGAAAACCACTTACCAGTTTCAAAGAAAATCCTGAGCAGTCAATTCGACATCCAATTTCCAAGATGCAGTCCACCTTGGGGTTGGGTCTTGACCCGCAGTATCGACCAAATTCAGCACGTTGATTAGGCGGCATCCGCTCCTCTTTAAACGGGTCTTCTAGACTGCTATGCTGTTATTGTCAACACGCCCGGTGTAGCTCCGCGGGGTTGGGGAGCTTCGATATCCCTCCAGCCGCGTAGCACTGTACCGACATCTTGCTTCCCCTTACAAGACACTGCTTGGGTACCTAACACGTAGCAATAGTTCAGTGGGAAAGCGATCAACGAGTGGCAGCCGTTTCCTGATCAACGAGTTAACCACTCTAATTTTTGATGGGGTCGTACATGAGCGAGATTTGGAGAAGGGGTGACCGCCATGGGCTCGAAACTAAAATGGGAACACACCGCAGGAGCACTGAACCTGTCATGCGATGATACTGTTCGTCATGCACGGCCCTCCAATCGTACTCGCCCTTGCAGCAAAGGCATATGACTTCGCGGGGGTACTAGCAAGTCAGCGAGATAACAGCGAGCCGATATAGCTACGGCGCGTGTTGTTGACGACTTTTCTCACAACCGTGCGAGAGTGGCATCATGACTGCGATGCCAATTTCCGACGGGAACGGAAAATCCAGACAAAAACGTTGCCGAGAGATGTTGGCGACAACCTTGCCTTCCGCGGTAGGTGATCTCCGTGTTTTCTTAGGTCGTCCAGTCGATACATTTATCATAAGCAGGATGTGGATGTAAGGTTGGGGACTTCGAAGGACGCGGCACCGCCATAGCCTCAGCTTGCTTACACAATCTGTTGAACGAGTACAATTTTTCCTTCAAGTGCAGCTTTCTGTCTACGGTGATTTGGGCATGCTATCTGCGTTGTATCGCTGAAATTCCCTGGCGAAACAATCTCTGAATCCCATGCGCTGCTTGAGCACTGTGACAGCCATGAAATTGAGACGCTGTCGAACTCTCCCTCCCACCGTCTACTAGGCTTGACTCCCCATCCGAGCTGATCCCAACGATCGAAACAAGTCCCGTTCCTCAGAGATTATGATGCTGTACTTCCACTTTCTCCCCCTTGATTCTTGCGCAGACGACCGCCTCCCTCGTCTTCGACGCCAGTGACTATTTTGTATTTTTATACCTCTTTGTCTATTGCGATGCAACTATCCCCTCCCCAATCTTCCCTGCTCCGATGGGTCTATGGACGAAAGAACAAAGGGGCATGCCACTCTTAGTTCATTCCCACAACTCCCTTACTTCTGGGTTGCGCCGACCGTCGTCGACTGGAGCACCCCAATTGCGGGGATTGTCATTCTGTCGCGTATGGGTACGGACGGCCAACACGACCACGATGCATCGTCGAGTTTATGATGCCACTGCGTGCGAATTGAGAAGCGGGCTGAGATGGATGCTGAATGGCCACTCTTGAGACCATCTGAGCCTTGATTTTCACGTCTTTTGTAGTTGAAACGTTGTTGAGAGTCGTATGCCTGAGAATCACTCGTGACTGACTGGTCCACGTCCAGCAATGACGCTTCAACTCTTCCGCCTGTGACCTAGCATGTTCTGTTCGTAAATTGCGACTCAGTTTGCGAGTTACAAAATCGATGCATATGCCGTAAGTGAGTTTCTTGTTCTCGATGCCGAGCTGCCATTGATTGACATTCCTGGGACATGCACAGGCTGTAGCCGTACAGCGGCACCGAAGTGGCGTGATTTCTGGAGGGAATTCTTATCGTTACAGTTTAATATTACGAACCGTCCTTGTCCCAGTATGTCCTTCTCGAAGGATTGGGTGCGCACCATGTTATGTGCATATCACCATCGAAACGCAACTGTGCACACACTGTGGACTTGTTCTTTTTATCCCCTAGATGCACGAGAGACCGTGAAGCGGTGCAACTTCGATGGCATGCTACTCATTCTCCGGCGTTTCCTATGGATACCGCGGCGTCTGAACCACAAGCGGTCTTATACATGACTTGTGCCATCGTCGAGCGCCTTACGAACAGTCCTTGTACTTTTTACCCCGCGGCGGCAGCCTTCGGATCTCTCCTGCTCATCGGAGTTTTCTTTGTTTTCACTTGAATTGATCTAAGCAACACGATCACCCGCCCATGGCACGCACAGTCGGGCTCTGGGCAACACTCGAATCACGTTGCTATGGCGTGGAGGGTATGAGTATAAGGACATCCACGAATGGAAGGTGGGTTACAACGTCGATAATATAAATATGCCCCTCCACAACAGGATCAAGCTCAGAAGACTACGCAGACTTTTCCGTTGAGTCCTTCGCTTGCTCAAAATGGTCTCGGAAGCTCCAAAGATTGAAGGTCTGTTCTCTGAGCAGTCCCGCTACTGGGACTGCGGACATCGGGTCGTGGTACTCCCTCATCCGTAACAACCCTCTTACATCGGATTGTCAAGTCATCGGGGTCGGCTGGTACAAGAAACGGAAAGGGGTAGAGGAATGAGTTCTTGCGGTTTGACATCTCTTCCCCCGACAATCAGCACACATGCATTGTCATTGCCGAGAAGAGTGGTGGTGGTGTTCGCAGTCCAAACTCCGGTACTTCTGCTCACATTCGTTAGTAACTTAAGCCGCTGACAATTCTGTAGACGCCACACAAGCTGTCGATAACCTTGCTCGAACGGACATAGCGGTAGACGCCACGGCGTCGCCGCTCACTCCACCAGAGACTTCTGTACTCTCACCTGATGTCGGCGATTCCACTGCAAGTAGTGCCGACGAAAGGAGTCCTCCGCTAGACAAAGTTACTCAGAGCGACGGGAAAAAAAAACGGAAGATGAATACCGCCCAAATTGCAGCTTCTTTTTTCTCCAGTTCCAAGCGGGACGCCTATAATCGCGTTCATTTTGGAACGCGTCTTACTGCAGCAGGCGCTCAGGTGGAGGAGATGTGCGACAAGCCTCAACGTCTCTGTACTTTATCGTTTACTGGCGCAAGGCCCACTGCAAACGAGCTAGCGACCTTGCTTTATGTAACCTCGGCACAGGAGCCCAAGTACGCCATTGCCCAAACACAATGCTACTGGTTCGTTGCAACTGTGTTTGATGCTCTCAAGATGCGGTACAAGGGTACCGTGCAAGATAACCTGACCCATCGGGGGGGTACAATTCGTGGGGTACCAGTGGCTATCAAGGCGAGCGGGAAAGAGGTGTGCGCCAAGTATCGTGAAGCTCGAGCTGCGTTGGCCGAGGAAATTGAACAGGAGCGCAGGCTTAAACAACAGGTAAGTTATCTTTGATTTCTGTTTACTGTCCGTGCTTACGATGACCCAAACAGCAAGAGGAAGAGAGGCAACGAGAACGCGAGCAACGCCAGGCCGCAGAGGAAGCCGAGGAAAGGGCACGGGCAGCGGAGGAGGAAAGACAGAGAGAATGCAAGGTAGCGCAGGAAGAGATTGCGAAGTTGCAACGCGAACTGCAGGCGTTGAGGAGAGCGGAGACAAATACTCAACAGGCTTGATGGATGGTGCCGGCCGCACATATACTTATACCAGTCTCGCTTTTTCCTTGTCATTCCCGGACTGCATACGATACGAGTCCATGCTTTTCAATGTTGTCATTAGTGGATGTCACGACATCTGTCTATCTAACTGCCTTATTACCATCACTCCTGGGGTTCTCAGGTGTATACCCCTGACATTCTGCTGCTGAGTTGGCATAGTTTTGTACACCCTGGGTACTGCCATAACCACGACGATGCTGTCCCTCGACGAAGAGGTCCGACTTTACACCAACGCAGAACGGGAGAAATACTCTCTTCTAGCTACGCTCTTCGGCATCGTAGTCGCACTGGACTCTCAGGAACGCGCATACGTCCGCGATTCAATTACGGCCGCTGAGTCAGTCCCACCACTATTTACCAATTCCATCCATCCTATCGGTCGGTTCAATGTGGAGCTCGTACATACTAAGATATGCCACGAGAGGTACTCGCCGGCGTGCACGAGGTTGTTGTCGCAGTATATGACGATGCTCAAGTTGGTCAAGGATTCGATCCCGTCGATCGAGGAGTTCATGACCCGCTATCGCGTGAGTCCCGTTTCTCCTCCTCCTTCTCCTTTCACCCGACGTTTTGATCTTGTTCTGTACGTGCGGCAATGACATAGCTTGATACGCCTGCTGCGTTGCACAGGATCAAGGTAGGGGTGCCCGCTACGGTGGAACATTCGAGCGAAGCTGGTCCGGAGACTGGAAAATGGATAGCTGAAACGACACAGGTAGGGAGATTCTTCGATACTCTGCTCACCTATTTCCCACTTCTCCGCACATGTAACGCACAGAACTTCATAACCTTCATGGACGCACTCAAGTTACGTCTACGCGCAAAAGATCAGCTGCATCCTATCCTTCAAGAACTTGTTATGGGGTACACAAGGTTTAAGGGGAGCAAGGAATGGGAGGGAAGAAGTCACATGGTTGGGTGGTAAGGGTACAATCTGTGGGGTACTGGTGGATTTCAAGGCGAGTGGGGAAGAGGTGTGTGCCAAGTATCATGATGCTCGAGCTGCTTTAGCCGAGGAAATTGAACAGCAGTGCAGGCTTAAACAAGAGGTAACTTGTCTTTGATTTCTGTTTACTGTCCATGCTTATGATGACCCCAAATAGAAAAAGGAACAGAGGCAGTGAGAACATGAACAATGCCAGGCTGCGGAGGAAGCTGTGAAAAGGGCAGAGGAGGAAAGGCAGAGGGAATGTGAGCAATCATGAAGTGGCTGAGTGGGAAAGGCAGGCAGCTGAGGAAAGGGCATGGGCAGTGGAGGAGGAAAGGCCGAGAGAATGCCAGGCCACAGAGGAAGTCGCACAAAAGGAGCGTGTGGCCGAGGAAAGGGCACAGGCAGCAGAGGAGGCAAATGAGAAGTTGCTCCAAGAACTGGAAAACTTCGCATTTGTTTCTTCCGCTGCCCATGCCCTTTCCTCGGCCAGATCACATTGCTCGTTCCCATTTTGCAGCTTCCTCTGTGGCCTGGCATTCTTTCTACCTTTCCTCCTCTGCTGCCTGTGCTCCTTCCTCAGCTGCACGCCTTTCCTCCTCCGCCCTTTTCATGGCTTCCTCCACGGCCTGGCGTTGTTCACGTTCTCGCTGCCTCTGTTCCTTTTTCTGTTTCGGGCATCATAAGCACAGACAGTAAACAGAAATCAAAGACAAGTTACCTCTTGTTTAAGCCTGCACCGCTGTTCAATTCCTCGGCTAAAGCAGCTCGAGAATCACGATACTTGGCGCACACCTCTTCCCTGCTTGCCTTGAAATCAACCGGTACCCCACAGATTGTACCCCCCAGATGGGGCATGGGATCTTGCTCGGAACCCTTGTATAGCATCTTGAGAGCGTCAAACACAGTTGTGGCGAACCAGTAGCATTGTGTTTGGGCAATGGCATACTTGGGCTCCTGTGCCGAGGTTACATAAAGCAAGGTCGCTAGCTCGTTTGCAGGTAGGCTTTGCGCCGGTAAACGATAGAGTACAGACAAGTCGAGGCCTGTCGCACATCTCCTCCACCCAAGCGCCTGCTGCACTAATACGCGTGCAAAATAAACGCGATCATAGGCGTCCCGCTTGGAACTGGGGGAAAGAGAAGCAGCAATTTTTTTTTCCCCCATCGCTCTTAGTAACTTAGTCTAACAGAGGACTGCTTTCGTCGGCACTACTTGCAGTGGAATCGCCGGCATCAGGTGAGAGTGCAGAAGTCTCCGGGGGAGTGAGCGGTGATGCTGTGGCGTCTACCGCTGTGTCCGTTTGAGCAATGGTATCGGAAACTTGTGTGGCGTCTACAGTATTGTCAGCGGCTTAAGTTACTAACGAATGTGAGCAGAAGTACCGGAGTTTGTACTGCGAACACCACCACCACTCTTGGCAATGACAATGCATATGTGCTGATTTTCGGGGGAAGAGATGTCAAATTGCAAGAACTCATTCTCTACCCCTTTCCTTTTCTTGTACCAGCCGACCCCGATGACTTGACAATCCGACGTAAGAGGGTTGTTACGGATGAGGGAGTACCACGACCAGATGTCCGCAGTCCCGTAGAGGGACTGCTCAGGGCACAGACATTCAATCTTTGGAGCTTCCTATTGGCAGAGGAACGAGGACGAAAGGGGAAAAGGGCGAGAGCTAAAGACGAGCACTTGCCTTTATGATTGGATTGAGTGTTAGAAGTATACGGTATTGAATAAGAGCTATTGAGGCTTGAAGAGTAAACAGTATGAGATTGACTGCTAGTCTGAGGGGATACGGCAGAAACCCCTTGGTTTATATACATGTAGGTATGCGCACAGACCAGGTGACGCATATGGTAAGTAAATGTACTACCTACTATGTATAGTAAAGAATGTCATGGAACGCCGTAGAATAAGTGGAGTAAAGTGACATCATAGTGGAGTCACTTAGAAAGCATGACATCATATGAGTCATCACTTGTAATAAGCAAGTCTAGAACCGGTAGTAATTTCAACACTCCCCCTCGCTCTAGAATGGTAATGTCACAAGACCAAGCGACGAGCGATTTGTTTCAAATTTCTGCCAGGTAAGTGACTTGGTTAATCCATCGGCCTTTTGTCGGTCCGTCTGGATATATTCGATGGCAAATAGATTATCCTGTACACATTCGCGTACGAAGTGCCACTGGACATCAATATGCTTGGAACGACCGTCTGAGACTGGATTCTCCGCAATAAAGCGAGCACCCATATTGTCACAGTAGAGAATAGTTTTCTCCAGAGTAAGGTCTAGTTCTTTGAAAAGCATAAACAGCCATTTGATTTGTCTGGCAGAGTCACATAAAGCCATATATTCGGCTTCAGTGGATGAAAGCGCAATTGTCTTTTGTTTGCGCGATCGCCAAGAAATAAGGGAGGTACCAAGAAACATAGCATATCCGGTAGTAGAGTGACGAGTATCGATATTGGCTGCCCAATCAGAATCAGCGAATCCGAAGATGCGAGATTCGTTCCCAGAATAGTAAAGTGCGAGTTTCGGAGTGGAAGCCACATATTTGACAATGTGTAGCGCTTTTTGTTTGTGATCTTCTGTTGGATTGGCCATGTACTGCGACATGCGAATAACCGCGAAAGCAATATCTGGGTGAGTACCCAGGGCCATATAGAGTAAAGATCCAATAATAGATTGATAATGGGAACGAAGTGAAGAAGAAGCTTGATAAGTAGCTTCGGGTTTCTTCGGTTGGTAGCCAGATGGAAGTGGAGTGCGAACATTGTGTGCATTCTCCATTTGGAATCTTTTGATCACCTTTTTGATATAAGGGATCTGATCCAGGTAGATCTCGTGCTTAGCACGGTTTCTGTGGATCTGTAGACCTAGGTATTCTTTACATTCTCCTAGATCTCTTGATTCCCATTTCTTCATAAACTCGTCTTTCTTTGCTTTTAAGAGTTTAGGATGTGATCCTAAAAATAGACCATCATCAACATAAACAAGAAAGATGACCATGCCTGCATTGGATTTAAAAACATAAATTCCTGCATCCACTTTTGATCGAGTGTAGCCCATGCGAAGTAGGGAAGCATGTAGGGCTTTGTTCCATGCTAATGCTGCTTGCTTTAAGCCATAAAGAGCACGCAGCAACCGATAGACCTTGTGCTCTTGACCTTTAATTTTGAAGCCTTCAGGTTGTTCCATATAAATTTCTTCATCCAAACCACCATATAAAAAGGCAGTTTTGACGTCCAGGGCGCTCATTTCCCAGTTTCGTTGAGCAGCGAATGCTAAAACGATTCGTACTGTCTCAAAACGAGCGACCGGCGAGAAGGTATCTTCAAAATCTGTTCCGAATTCTTGTGTGAAACCTTTGGCCACAAGACGAGCTTTATAGCGACCATCGCTTTTTATAGCGAAAACCCATCTGCATTTGACTGGTTTGCGATCTGGTTTTGGATCCACTAGAGTCCAAACATTGCGTTCCTCGATTGATTTAATCTCATCCTTCATGGCGTCGAACCATTTCTTTTGTAACTCCGGATTTAATTTAAGGACGTCTTTGAAATGTTCCGGAGATTCTTTAACACGTGCTGCAAGAAGAAATTCGAAAGTATTGGCAAAAATGCCTTTGTGTTCTTCTTCTTCATCATCAACGCGTGCGGTTCGAGAAGGACCTGCAATTGGTTGGGTAGGAGTAGGAGGAGTAGTTGACTCAGGTAGAGGAGTCAAAGGAGAATCAGGAGGATGTGAAATCCACTCCCTAGGAACAGAAGGAGCCTGAGGTCATAAAGGTGACGGAGGTCTCCTTTCTTCCTGTACCTGTCTCCTATACTCTCTAGAATTGCGAGCATGTTGCTCAGCATTCCTAATCCATTCCTGAGCAGTGTCTCTATTTTGTTGAATATCCCTCTCGATTTGAACAGGAGGTCTAGTTCCATATATGTTATCAGGTCGAGAAGTAGGGATTATTCTTCGTTTAGGACGAGGTTCCCTTTGTTCAAGTTGTTCCGGATTTGCCCTTCGTAGATTTCTATTATCTCCAGGAACAGGATATGGTTGATAAGGATGTTGAACAAGATTGGGAGGTACAACAGGAGCTCTGTGTGGTCTTTGTGGTTGTTGAACTGGTCTGTTATGTTGACCACCCTGTTGTGGGTTTGGATTACAAGGAGGTTGTTGTGGATTCTGTGGTTGGATTGGATGAGGTCCAAAGTCGGGAGGATCAATCCCGAAGTCCAGTAGGTTTCCACCAGCATCGCTAGAACCAGATGATTGGTCGTCTTCAGAATCAGGGTCATTTGAGGTATCGGATTTTCTTCGAATACTATCTGAACAAAAAGGAAAGGAGTCTTCTACGAACTTGGCAGTGCGAGATAAAATGATCTTTCGACCATAGAAAAATCGATAGCCTTTGGTTTTTGGTTCGTATCCTAAAAATATCATTTCGATTGCATGTGGGTCCAATTTATCTTTTCTCTGTTCTTTTGGCACCCATACATATGCTTTGCAACCAAAAGTGCGAAAATAAGAAATATCTGGAATTTTGCCAGTGAATAATTCAGCTGGTGTCTTGAATTGTATCCTTTTGAGCGGTGTTCTGTTGTACACATGAAGTGCACAGTCAAATGCGAAGTTCCAGAATTTCTTCGGAACACATGCATAGTGACGAATAGCTCCGGATTTTTCCAGTATAGTTCGATTGAATTGTTCGGCACGACCATTTTGTTGGGGTTGGTCAGCTATTGAAAGCTGATGAGCAATTCCTCGAGAGTTGAGGAGCGCTTTGAAAGTATTTCCCATAAACTCTCCCCCTCGATCCAAACGGAGAGTACCCAATTCCAAATTAAGTTGTCACTGCATAGCAAGCAACCATTCGGTAAAGTGTTGGTAGGTGTCGGATTTATGGCGCATGTAAATGCAGAAGCCAAAGGAGGAATAGTCATCAAGTAATGTAAGAACATACTTGGACCGGAAATAGGATTCAATGGGAAGTTCCAAAAGGTCGGCATGAACCAATTCTAAAGGGCGAGTTGCACGTTTCCAGGAAGGTTTAAATGACTCTGAAGCCATTTTGCCTTGTGCACAGCCCTTGCAGGACTGAATCCCATGGAGAGGGATGTCAGGAAGACCTAATCGGCGAGTATGATGTAATATATTATTGGCAGGATGTGCCAGCCGATTATGCCAAAGTGATTCGGCATCCAATTTAACCATCGGGCAAAGGACCGAAAAAGCATTGGAGGGTGGAAGCGGAACGCCCACAAACCAATGTAACGGTGAATTAGGTGAAGCTAATCGTGCTTCAACTAAAATCCGGCTGTCAGGTGTTCGGATTACTTCATTGTTTGAAGTCGCTTCGCTTCTATATCCCCTGTTTAGAAGCATATTTCGAGAGCATAATCTCTTCGAAAATTGAGGGCTGTATACCACATTATCCAAGGAAAGAGTGGAGCCATTTTCTAGCTGCAACACTACAGTTCCTTCACCGATTAAATTGACTTTTTGTTTTCCAGCAGTATTAGCAGACTGCGGAGTAGAATACTTTTTAAAGGACAAAAAGTCAGAATAATAAGGGGTCACATGATGTGAAGCCCCAGAGTCAAGCATCCAAATGGACTCGCCTTTTGGCAGTGTGATGTTGGCTGAAATATCCAAAGGATAACAGTCATAAGCATCTGATGCATTGCGGTCGAATTCGCCAGGGTTATAACCACTGACAGAATTCTCCGGGTCAAAGTCAAAGTCCGGTACATCAAGACAAATAAAAGGACGAGGACGAATATAAGTCCTCGGATTTGATACACTCGCATGAAACTCTGCTAATGATACTGTAAATGGTCTGCGAGATTTTCGGGAAGACTTGGAAGAATGTCTGTTTCCTCGAATAACCTGCGACTCATCATCTGCAGAATTCCTCTCTCCTGCCATGTGTATACTAGCCAAGCCGGCAGCTCCCATTCCATTCTCGGATTGGAGGGGCGAGCTAGATACAGGCCCGGCTCTCGACTCAGTAGAGGGAAACGGAATCCTCCTCGATAGAGGATCCGAGTTCTCCCGTTGTAAGGGTTCCTGAAGGGATATACCCATTCTGAAACCCGTCGGTTCTGAGGAGCGATAGGCACGTAGGCAAATTGAGCAAAGACATGGAGAGTCAGATCTGGGTAAC